GTTGGAGTCTCACTCTGTCCCCCAGGCTGGAATGCAGTGGCACCCTCCCAGCCACTGTTGCCTCTACCCACTGGGATCCGGCAATCCCTCCGCCCCAGCCTTCTGAGTAGCCGGAACTATAGGCATGCACTACCACGCTCGGCTAATTTTCGATTTATTGTAGAGACGAGGTCTCGCCAAGTTGCCTGGGTGGGTCTCGAACCCGTGGACTCAGGCAATCCACTTGCCTCAGCCTCCCAAGTGCTGGGATGACAGGCTGAGCCGCCGAGCCTGACCTGAAGACTCAACTTAATCCCTTCTGTCACTCCCCTCCCGCTACTTTATTTCAATCAAAAACTTTTATTAGACCAGGCTCATGCCTATAATCTCGGCATTTTGGGAGACCGAAGCGGGAGGGTCACTTGAGCCCAGGAGTTTGAACCAGCCTAGACAACATAGTGAGACCTCATCTCTACAAAAAAAATTAAAGAATTAGCTGGACGTGGTGGTGTGCTCCTGGAGTCCCAGCTACCCGGGAGGCTGAGGCTGAAGGACCACTGGAGTCCAGCAGGTTGAGGCTGTGGTGGCCACGAGTGTGGCCAGGCAACAGAGTGAATTGTAGATCTAGGATGCTACTTTCATGTAAAATGACTTGGGAGAGTAAGTACACACTCAGTATTTATACGCATATGCTTCAACCAAAAGAAAATTCTGGATAGATATTCCATAGACTAAAAAAAAAAAAGGTGCTTAGCTTTTTGGAGGATGGTATTAAAGAGAACCTTTTCAGCTGTACACAGTGGCTCATGCCTGTAATCCCAGCATTTTGGGAAGCGGAGACGAAAGGATTTCCTGAGCCAAGTTTTGAGACCAGTCTGAACAATTTGGTGAAACTTCGTCTCACAATAAATACAAAAATTAGCTAGACATGGTGGTGTGCACCTGTAGTCCCAGCTACTTGGGAGGCTGAGGTGAGAGGATCTCCTGAGCCCAGCAGGTCGAGGCTGCAGTGGCCGTGAGCGTGCCACTGCACTCCAGCTGGGGACAGTGAGACTCTGACTCAAAAAAAAATACATAACAAGCCGGGCTCGGTGGCTCAGCCTGTAATCCCGCGCCTTTGGGAGGCTGAGGT